AAAAAAAAAAAAAAAAAAAAAAAAAAAAAAAAAAAAAAAAAAAAAAAAAAAAATTGATAATAATAAAAACAATTATAACTAAAATTTATATTTTGGTAAGCAATTAAGTATCAGTGATCCTCTTGTACTGTTTGTCCTTGATAAATCAACAAAAACTACTTAAAGTACAGAAAGTATACTTTTTTTTTTTTTTCGTTATTCCTATGATTTTTTTACATTTACATTTTTATTAATTAATTGAACAATAAACATTTTTATAAGTGTTTTACATTGACCCCAATATGTTACAAATGTTATAAAAAATAAAAATTTATTTGATCTTTGGTACACTATTGTGTAATCTATAACCAAAGGGTTATTGCCCCTATAAGTATTTAATGTCTCTTAGAGGATAGCCTCGAATGTAGCTAACCCTTAAGAGATTTGTTAACAATTTATTGAAGATGAAATGAATTTAACTATTTTCTATTTCGATATCTTTTTTTTCCATATCAAATCTTAAATAAACAGACTCGGTGTCGAGCGAATAGGCGCACTAGGGATGAATATGTGAACATCGTTGTGCTCACTAACTCTATGTACAATTAGATAAAGAACAAAGACAACTGCACACTCTGTCTCCATCAACATGCCTATATTTATGAATCACCACAAGGTAAACTGTATACATTGGTCTGGCCCAGGCCCTCTTCAGGTGCACTAAAATTAAAGGTTTTACAGGCTCTTCTTTTACTTTACGTACACGCAGTATAAAAGTGGCATCTATGTGGCTGCGTCCTTTTTTTTTTTTTTTTTTTTTTTTCGTTTAGATAGTAGATTTTGTTGCTTATCGCGCAAAAGTTTATAGGGGCGTGCTATATGGGGATTTAATGTTTGCAGGTTNTGTCTCCATCAACATGCCTATATTTATGAATCACCACAAGGTAAACTGTATACATTGGTCTGGCCCAGGCCCTCTTCAGGTGCACTAAAATTAAAGGTTTTACAACAATATAAAATTTAAATAATAATAAACAGTGCTAATAAAAAATCGACGGCAGTCACAAACTTGCACAATACTTACAATATTAATTATCATATTATATGATACGTCAACAGATTACGTACAGCAAGACACGCATCGGTAAATACGTGTCTCGCTAGACAATGTGGTGTTTAAAAGAATTCGTTCAGTAAAACAATTTATTCGCAGATAAGGCTTATAATAGTATATCGGTGTATGTATACTAAATGTTTAAATGTACATATGTAAGGATGGGTAACGAGCTTTCAATCAAAGGTAACTATTTATTAATTCTTAAATTATTTAAAAAATTCTTGTAACAATTTTTTAGATTTTGCGTATCGGTCATTGTTTTCAATATGTCGTTAGTCAATTAAATATGTACCATTTCTGAAAGAAATCCATTATATATATATATTTGGTTCAGTATCAAAAATATCGACATTGTCAAAATCAAGTGTGTGTTTAGTGGATGACGTATGTTAACCTAATGCCGACATTGCCGACTTGTCACTTTTATTTGTTACATCCCTAATATGCTCACAGGTTCTTTTTTTTAATTAGATTTTTTTTAATTGTCTGCCAGTCTGATCGACGTACTTTTTTTTACATTGTGTACACTTTATTCTGTAAACAATGCTACTTTTCTCCATAGGAGGAGTGATGTATTTATGACACTGTTAAATTTGTTTGTGTTTTCATAAATTACATTACAACTAATTTTCTTAAAAATTGATTTTGTCTTTTTACTATAGTATTTGAAAAATGTTAAAACAATAAACGGTTTATTTTTATTAACGTTTACAGTTTTAGTGCCTTCGTTTTCGTGAATTTGGCATGGCCTTTTCTATATATATTTATTTATAAATGTTACCGGGTAATCGTTATCAAGGAGAAGTTGTAAGTATCGTGCAAGTTTGTGACTATCGTCGATTTTTTGTTAGCGCTGTTTATTGTTATTTTAATTTTATATTGTTGTGACCTTCAATTTTAGTACACCTATAGAGGGCCTAGGCAATGACCGAAGTAGGCCTAAACGTTGTGCAATTAATAAATATGTAGATGGCGAGACCACTTGAGTTTTTATTAAATTAAATACATATACTCACAGAGATATATACACACGCGTGGCATTATTCGTCGCTGCATCTCAACAGAGTGTTCTGAGCACGAGAGAAAAAACAAGAAGCAATTAAAAGACCTGCTGCATTCTTACGTTCCCCTGTACACTCTATTATTTTCATTGCAACAGAAGAAGCAATAACGGGAGGAGAAAAAAAGATAACCAGCAACGAAGGCGCGAGCGGAATTTCTCTGATGGCTATAAGTGTATTATATACATATACGTATACTTTTGACATTCCCATTGTCGCGGTCGATTGTGCCCACTTCCGTGGGAATTCGCGGAACGGAAGTGCAATTTCTCCCATTCTTTCTCCACCTGTTATTTCACAGTGCTCGCACCGTGCGCTCAACGCGACGGAGGCGCGAGGGTCGCGCGTGGAGGCTGGATACACAAAAGACGCGCACCTCGCGAAGAGAAGGAGGTACGCTGGGAGACAGGGAGAAAAAAAGAGGGTTAGTAGTAGGAAAGGGAACGGAGAAACGGTGGAAAAAAAGGAGGCAGGTAAGCGCCGGGAACTGTGGGACCTGCAGCCGAGATTAATTTAACCCCCGCGTACTTGCGCGCTTGTTTTTTTTTTTTTTTTTTTTTTTTTTTTTTTTTGTCTTATTCTCGTGGGTTGTGTGCACGTAAGTATATGCGCGAGATCGTTGCTTTCGAGAAATTCTCAGCAATTGCTTCGCTGTTGCTCGAGCTATTCTTTCCACGATGAGGCTCTCCAGAATTTTACTCGATTTACCTGTGCTTGCTCGTCTGGGCTTTTTATGTCGCGTGTTTCGATGTGTTTTTTTTTCTTCTCCTTCGTTGCTGCTTGCGATGGAGATTTTAACCGAGTTTTTAAGAAAAATGCGCCAAGTGTTTTTATTCTCCTTTTTTTCATTCAGAATATAGTAGTGTACAGTTGAGGATTAAAATAAGATACAATTAGGTAATTATGGACATAAAAAATTGCCAATGGGCCATAGAAAGTACGGTTGAACAGTCAAAATTTAATTTGCTGTTAAAACGTTTACGAAAAACGTCTGTTAATTGTTTAAATTTTATCAATGAGTAAAAGAAAAAAATATTTCAAACTCAACATAGCAAAATTTTATTCTAGTTTGTTTACATCGAACTTGAACATCAGTTTAAAAAAAATTGTTAAGGCTGATCTGTATCCGATTAACGAATACCGTTTTTCCCGTCAAGTTACCTCGGTAGGCACCTGTTAACTGATTAGAAAAGTTTCCGGGGTCACCAATAGATACTCTACGGTTTCTGATCCGGTCGTAGCGTAAATTCGTTTTGCATTACGGGTAGGAATACTTTTTCATTGGATACGTTAAGAATTATGGTGTGATAAAAAAATGAAAAAAATATCAGACAATATTTTATCGATAGTATTAACTTAGTAACAAGATAGCACATCATGGCTAGACTTATTAATTGAATGTGCAATTTAGAGAAGTGACAAATAAGTACGAGAATTGTTCAATGACTGAGTTGGTAACTTTTCACTCATGCGTATTTTCATATTAAAGCTATATATACTTTGCTGTATCATGTGTACTACCACTGAAGCTTTAAATAATATAAAAATCAATTCACATTTGCCTATTAAAAATAAAAAATTTTCAATTATATTTTAACATATTTTTTAGGATCAGGACTTCAAGTGAATGAGGCTAAATTCATACTCACAGGTTTTATATTGTGTTACTGATTAACTTTCGTTAAATGAAGAATGTTTCATTATTTATGACTATATCTTAATACACCCTGTAAAAACAAGAAGGTTACTTTTTAGACTTAGAGAAAAAATGGTGCTTTTCAATATTATTTTTTTTTCTTCGTAGTTCAAGTTGGCTACGCCAATTTTTTTTTTTTCCTTAACTTCCGTTATTATTTTGACTTAAACAAATTTTAATTCATTTTTATTATCTGCACACT